TTGGGCCTGGGGCTTAGCCCTGGCAGGAGTTGAGCCCTGTCTCGGGCTTTGGGCTGCAGAATTCCTGCCCCCGAGGGCCTCCTCTCTGTCATTTGTTGGGTTTTTTGGGGGGAGGGGTCTAAATGGCTCCTCTTCCCTCTGTGCCCTTGGCTGGTGCATCACTTCCGAGCTGATCCCTCCCCAGTTCAGGATGCTCCTTTGGGCTCCCGGGTCTGCGCCTCCGGCTCTTTTTCATTTGTTGGGTTTTTTGGGGGGAGGGGTCTAAATGGCTCCTCTTCCCTCTGTGCCTGTGGCTGGTGCTTCACTTCCGAGCTGATCCCTCCCCAGTTCAGGATGCTCCTTTGGGCTCCCGGGTCTGCGCCTCCGGCATGGCGAAGAGCAACACGTTGTTACGTAAGACTGAACCCAGGCGCTTTCTGAATGGGACGGGGCTGGTCTAATAGGTCTCGTTTGCCCCCCCATGCTGGAGCCGGGGGCTTGGTGGGTCTCACATCATGGTCCAGTCCCGTGGAGCGAAGCGGCAGCTGCCAGGCGCGGGCGCTGGGGATTGGGAATGTGCCAGGAGAGGGCAAGTCCCCGGGCGCGGGCAGATGGGAGGAGGGGCCGTGTTTTTAGGGATGAGCTCATGCGGGTCGCCCTCCCCAAGCATGACACGTTTACACACAGACACTCACTGCCTAGCGCCGCTGCTGAAGAATGGCGGGATTCAGCCCGGCTGCCCATCTGGGCCCGGCTCAATCGGCCGCTTTGTTTCTCTCGCTGTACGTCTGCCCGGCAGAAGGGTTCTGTGTCGCTTTCCACCAACCCAAGCTGGCCCAGAGGAGAGGTTCCCTCGCCCACCTTGGCTCTGGTATCCTGGGACCACTGCTGAGCACCTGCCAGGGAGAACCCTCTGCCCCCTGCACTCTGGTAGGGGCAGAAGGGTGTAGGGGGGGAGGGGGAAGGGATGAAAGAAAAGGGACACGATGAGAGGCGGGTAGCAGAGAGCTGCCAGACCGGACTGTCATTCACCCCGTGCACAGGATCTCGGCGTGGCGTGGCAGGGACTTAGTGTCCCGAGAATGGCGGGTTCTCCCCAGACTCTGGTGCCGGATCAGAGAGCACTGAGGCTGGAGACAGGGTCCCTCTGTCGCCACCGGGTGCTGCTTGGATCAGAGTTGGCGGGGGAATGCCTGGGGGTGGGGAGAGGAGACCACCGTGGAGTCAGACTGTCAGTCCTGGTCAAAGGGGACTTGTGAAGGCAGCGGCTGGCCAGTGCGAATTGGTGACCAAGGAGAGAAACAATGCTAGAAACGGAGGACACGTGTCAATGGCAGAGTGGTGCTGGGGGCCCAGGAGTCCTGGCTCCCCTTCCTTGGTTCACCCCTTGGGGCGCACATCTTCCTGGGGCCTGGCAGGGACTCCTGACCTGCGGGCTCACCAGTGGAGCCAGGGAACAGGAGGTGACCTGCTACAACTAGAACTCCCCTGGCCGTGTTACTGTCTCCTGCTCCATGAGCTGTTGCTAGAGGCCGTGTGTGCTGGGTCTTCCCCCCCACCCTCTGCTCTGCACACGGTGGTGCCACGTCCGCGTCCCCTGCAGGGGCTGGCGCGGGGGCACGCTGCTGTGGCGCGGAGGAGGGGGCTGCTTTGTTCCGCTGCAGGTGGGTTCACGCCTCACCTCGAAACTCAGAAGCCGGGCACCCGGCACTCTGCCACATGTCACGCTGGCAGCCGGCTGAGCGCACCAGGGCTCACAACGGAGCTCCAGGATCTGCCCAGCAGGGCTCGTACCAGGAGGCACATCCTAGGGCGGTAGGATGGGGCTACATGGGCCCATCCCCACCCCAGGGCTGTCGGCCTCTGGGCTCAACCAGATCCAGGAACCTTCGCAGCTACTCAGGCCTCCTTGCGGGTGGTGTCTGTGCCAGGTCTTGGGCTGGGGCTGTGAGACACCGTTCTGCAATCAAGCAGCCCCGGCAGCCTTCGCTGGGGGCAGGCGACATCCTAGGGCGGTAGGATGGGGCTACATGGGCCCATCCCCACCCCAGGGCTGTCGGCCTCTGGGCTCAACCAGATCCAGGAACCTTCGCAGCTACTCAGGCCTCCTTGCGGGTGGTGTCTGTGCCAGGTCTTGGGCTGGGGCTGTGAGACACCGTTCTGCAATCAAGCAGCCCCGGCAGCCTTCGCTGGGGGCAGGCGAACGTCCTCTGATCAGGCTGTCCTAGCCTTCCTTCCCAGGCCTGGCTTGGAGTGTGCGACACCCGGTCCCAACAGGGTCTGGAGATTCCCTGCTAATCCCTCGGGATTCTCCCGGCTGCGCCCCTCACAGCCAGGGATGGAGCCACATGGGACCCTCCCCCAAGTTCCAACCAAGATAGGGGGGCAGCCGCCTGATGGCTGCTCTGTCTCTAGCAGTGAATGGCTCAAACGGACCCTTCAGCTACATCTCACCTCTCCCCATGGGAGCATCCCCTGTCCTCCCCTCACGCTGCCCTCGGAGTCAGGATCACCCCACAGAGGGCAGCCCGGTTTGCACTGTTAGGGCTGCTGGGCCCAGCAGAGAGGTGGCTGGGTGATCGGACCAGCCTGGTCCAGTGCCGAGTCCAGATTGGCACGGGCACAGCGCCACCAGCTCAGCATGGCCTTCTGCCTGACACCGGCTTCTGCCCCATTCACTCCACTGAGTTCCTTGGGGGAGACCCATGCGCTTCCAGGGAACATTCCCAAGGCACCTGCCCAGAGCTCAGGTGTCTGGATTTGGGAATGGGCCGGTGAGGTTAACTCCTGCCGCACGGAGCAGGGAAAGGCAAGTTCCCCCCACCCCATGTGACTCATTGTTGCTTGGCCTCAAAGGAATGAAACCGATGCTCCGGCAGCTGCTAAGCTGAGACCAGGCGTGTTCATTTCACGTGCAGCCCATTAGATTCCCAAGAGTGGGGGCAGGCTGGCTGGAGGGGTGTAGGGCCTGACAGCCGGACCCCAGCAGAGAGGCTGGCTGGGGACATGCAAGCAGCCTGCTTCCCTTGGGAACGTGGCGCCCATGTGGCTTTGGGGAGGGGTTACGTCAGCCCTGGGGCCTTTCGAAGCCAGGGGCTGGGGGGGGAAGCTGATCTGGGGGCCTGTCGCTGCATCAGGTCAGAAATGGATGCTGGGTCTCTGCTCTGAGGAGTTCACAGACCATCAGTGCAGGGGCCTGCTGCGCCTGGAGGCCTGCCCCCAGCACACAGGGGCGCCAAGGCCGGGCAAACCAGCCTTTTCAGAACCCCCCCCAGCAGCAGGGGCGGGTTGGGGGGGGTGGGCCTGCTTTGCCCCTGGGTGGAAGGGAAGCGGGTTGGCCGGTTCACACTTGGCTCCGGCTATTTTGGGCCACCTACGGGCCTCTCTAGCAGGGGCAGAGCTGGGGATGCCCTGCAGCATCTCATAGCGCTATAGACGCTCGGGATACCGGTTAAATGGTTAACTCGTGAGCCGGTAACCACGTGTCTTACCAGCATCCTTAGGGGGGTAACTGGTTAACTGGTGGGCCTGGCCCATGGGAGCAGCCTCTGCCCATAGCGGCCTGGCTGGCAGGACGCTGGCAGCAGTGGGGCTGGAGTAGCCTCCAGCCTGTGGGGTCAGAGCAGCCCCTGCTGCACCCCTCCCAGACCCGGATCCAATAAGACCCCCACCCCAGTTGCCCTGACCCCGCCAGTTATAGTTTAACTGGTTGTCGAACCGGTTAGCTGTTTAGATCAAAATGTACATCCCTGATAGGTCCTGGGCTGGTGGAAGGGCCCACTGGCCGCCTCGCTGCCTCCCATCGGGATCTGCCTCCCCTCTGCTCCCCCACCAGCTCAGATCCCTGACAGCTGCTGTGGGCTGGGGGGAGAGGCGGGGGCTCCCACTGCTTCCTTATTGTTCTCCCGCTCCAGTGTTGCCATGGCAACCAGGGAATTAGCATCCCCGGCCCAGTTTCCTCTGAGCAGTGAGGCCTGAGAGGATGCAGGCCTGGGATGGCTCCTGGCTCCGGGGCCCGGCAGCTACTGGGTGCCAACTGTCCCTTCTGCAGCTGCTGGCGTGGGGCCCGGGTTCGGGGAGAGGCGAGAGCATCACAGGGTCTGTGTCCGGCCGCCTGGCGGGACATGGGCGATGGGCCCCAGCTCTTCGCTGCCATGAGGGGGCGCTGGGTAGGCGAGGCCTCATCTAGGGATGCCTGCTCCAGGGTCCTGAGCCAACTGGATTCTTTGGTGCCCTCTTGAGTTCTCCAGTCCCAGGAGGCCGGCACGGCTGTGGGCCTTTCAGGGCAGGGGCTCCCTCCAGCACTGCAGGGGCCTGGCGGGACATGGGCGATGGGCCCCAGCTCTTCGCTGCCATGAGGGGGCGCTGGGTAGGCGAGGCCTCATCTAGGGATGCCTGCTCCAGGGTCCTGAGCCAACTGGATTCTTTGGTGCCCTCTTGAGTTCTCCAGTCCCAGGAGGCCGGCACGGCTGTGGGCCTTTCAGGGCAGGGGCTCCCTCCAGCACTGCAGGGGTTAATG